TCATTTTCCTTTCGTTTTGTCCGTGGGAAAACCAGTGACGTCTTTCTTCTTAAACTGAAAGTGCGACGAGGGGAGCGTGACAGATTTACATCTGGAATTTTCAAACTGACGTCACTCATGTCTCTGGGCAGCTTCGTCAGAGCCGCTTCACTCCGAGGGTGGATTTTTATTTCTAAGAAGTCATCCAGTATTACAGTACATGCAGTATTACAGCCAGTATTACAGCCAGTACTACAGCGTCACGTCACACACACACACAGATCGTGGTGATGACATTGACTGTTGTGATAGAGCAGAGGTTTCTCAAGTCCATTCTCTTCCATTCTTACATGAACTTGAACGCACATTAGCAGCAGAGGACACTCAGTGACCTGGTGGTCGGTTTGGGAACTGTTTTGGTTTCACCTTTAAACACCATCATGGTCACCAAAGCTGCAGGTCTGGGGAAACCTGACAGATTTAGATCATCAACTGACAAACTGCCACCAGAGGGTGACAAAAAAAAAAAAAAAACAAGCAGATAATTCCTATGATTCCTGTAATTCAAATGTCCTGATGTTTCAGATGGAGCTGGATCTAAACCTGCTGTGAAAGCCTCACAAATGCTCTTAGGCAGGGGTGTCCACACTTTTTTGGCTCAGGAGCTGCTATCATACATACATATATATATATATATATAATTGTTCATGATCTACCAGCACTCCTGTTGTGATCTACTGATGGATCCCGATCCACCTTTTGGCCACCTCTGCTCTTTGGTTTCTATTCTTTCGTTTGCTCTGATTTCAGAATCACTAATTCTAAGGGTAAAAAAAAAAACAAAAAACAAAACCTAACACAGCTCAACTGGCACAAAGACATGAAGATAAAACGTGTCAGAGCCGTTAGAGACGTCTGAGAGACAAGTCTCCACACGTTTAAAGTCTTTAAAACCTGACACCTGTTGAAAACGTCGTCATCGTCGTCTCAGAACTACTACCACCGAACTTTGACCACATGTCATGAGAGTCAGTGTCATGAGAGCGGAGGTGAAGCTGCAGGTTGTTTATTGACCCAGAGCTGGGCCACTTCTTCAGCAGCCGTCAGTGAAGTATTGACAGAGTAAACCTGAGCTGCAGGCGTACGGAGGAGAGCAGGAGGTTAGAGGCGGGACTCCCCCAAGAGGGAGTGTGTCTGTGTGTGAGTGTGTGTCTATTTCAGCACTTGCTTCACACACGGACTCACTCACTCACTCACTCACACACACAGACATAAGGAGGTGAAGCCTAGTCAGAACTCACAGCCCAGAGTGAGTCAGTGAAGCTGTGGCGTTTCCCAGCGTCAGAGAGGTTGAGTCTGCTGCTGCTTTTTACTCATGCTGCAGTCAGACTGAGGCCCACATTTGAACGGACAGCAGCCCCACTCCGCTCCGCTCCGCTCTGCTCTGCTCCGCTGTGCCCCGCGCCTCACACACACAGAATCATGGGAGCCTGCTGCTTTGACAAGAAGGAGAAGAAAATTGGGAAGCTGAATGGTTGGAGGAAGGTGAGCTTCTCTCAGAGTTTTTTTTTTTTTGTTGAACTCTTCATTGGAGCTGCAGCGGGCTCCAGGGTCGACCTGTGGTTTTGTTCTGTTTTTTGTTTTTACTTGACTTCTTCTGAGACATACAGCTGTATGTAATGAAAATGCAAGACATAGGTTGGTGTGAAGATCATGTTTAAACTTGACCAGGAAAAGTTCCCACTTTTCGGAGCCACAAAGTTGAAGCTATGTCTCGGTTTCTTACACTCGGTGGTAATTGTGTGTTTCATGGAGCCTTTAGGCTCAGTGTGAGTGATGGTGACAGCTGGCAGATCTCTGGGGTTTGATGTTGTATATACGACTGTGAGCTTTTAAACTTGGGGGTTGTTTTTGAATTTCCTGTCAGATTTGAAGGACACATTGTCAGATGCACTTCTCGACTGAAGCTTTTTTCTTATTTTCCTCTTCTTTTTTTAAAAAAACTTCAGTTGAATAAGAAGAGCAGATGAGTTGAAGTTCTTCTGAAGACAACAACGGATGTTTGTTTTTAAAAATGCTGTGGAGTTTAAGTCTGGACTGAAGCATCACCACTGGATTTAGATCTGTCAGAAAAGTCATGATAACATTTTGTCCCTGCTCTGAATGAGAACAGCACGGAGGTGTGTGTGTGAATAAATATTGTTCTATGGACTGGGTGTTTGAACAGGTGATGGAAATATTGGTACAAGCGTTCCCATGAGTTTGCGACTTATTTCCCACGTTGGTGTGTGTGTGTGTGTGTGTGTGTGTGTACAGTACAGTACAACTTTCACTGCACGCAGAAAGCTGGATTTGGTGAAAGCTGTTCATGTGGTTTCCCCAGAAGACTGACGGCGTGGTATTTGACTCTGGGCTGATCTGACCACATCTGACTTCACTGACGTTGACACTGATGCTAATGATTTTCCTCAGCTGAGGCCTCGCCAGCGTTAACTCCTTCAGTTGTTGCCTTTCTGTCCGTTTGCGAGGCTTTTCGAGTGTGAGTCAGAGGAAGTGAGAGGCAGTCGGCCCGTCTGCGTCTCTGTCGAACATACGCACACGTATACCATCACAGACGCTCTGGTTTTTACAGTTATGTCACATTGAGTCTCCACCACGAGGCCTGTGTTACTGCTCTGGAGCCACATGTTTGATACAGACAGAGGACAGGGAGCAACACTGATGACGGACAGCTCTGACCAGAGAGAGTCGTCAGAGAGCAGGAGGTTTCACTCTTCCAGCTCTATTTGTCTGTGTCAAAAAGCACATTTTTTTTACAGTGTTGTATTCCACAATTATTCAATCTTGTTCCAAAAGTTCTTTTAATTGACGATCAGGTCTCAGTACACACCTTTGAACGGTGTTTTATTGACTGTGCTGCAGATGCTGTAGTTTTTTTTTTTCATCTCAGCTTTAACTTTCAGTTCTGCAAAAACAACGTAGATACACTGACAGGTTCTACAACGCAGCGTAGGTTTGTGAGTCTTCAGGTTTGAAGTTCGACCTGTGAATCCAGATGAATATTTCTGGGGATCTCGTGACTAAAGTGTTTTAACTCAGAATGAAATTGTTACGATTTTTTTATTGAATTTTTCACAAACTCCAAAGTTTAACTGCACTGCACCTCGTACAGAGCTACATCAGCCGGACACTCGGGTCACTGCTCTCAGAGCGCAGCTGAGCACACTTAGTAGAGTGCGCCCACTAGTGGCCGCCAGTGAATAAATGACAGGAATTCCATTCTGAAGCAATATGGGGAATAGGATGAGCTGTACTTGTCGTATGGATTCTATTACGTCATTTTGGAATATTTACCCCGAATTTCCAAGAAAAAGAAATGAAGTTTTTCCTCATGTAAAAAAAAAAAACATTGGTCTCTCTGATATAGATAGAATCAGATAATTCGTATTAATAATGGAGAAAGATTACAGTGTAAATAAGGCACTGACTGTGTTTCTGTGGACGAGCGTCTCGTGCCAGAGGGGAACTCCATGTCTGACTTCCTGCGTCTCCGTCCGCCTGGCTGCCCTCCACACTGCACTGTCTGCTCTGATCACATCTGAATGAAGGAAGCCCAGCATCGTGTGTGTGTGTGTGTGTGTGCGTGTGTGTTCATTCGCTCTCTCTTTGTCACAGTGAAATCCCACAGGCTTCATTCACCCTCTCTGCCTCTGTCACAGCAGATCTCTGCTGATTCTAACCCCATCCATGTGAACACACAGAGACGGAGGGAGAGAGAGGGAGAGAGAGAGAGAGAGAGAGAGAGGGAGGGAGGAATGGAATAAATAAATAAAAACCAGTCGGATTAAGACATACACATCTCTGTCGTTGAGGAGGAGACGGCTGCAGAGGCTTCACCTTCAGAGCTGTGATGTCACCTGCTGCTCCTCGCTCACTTCTTCAAATGCACCGTTATATTCTGTGTCACCAAAGACACGACAGTGATCTGTGCAAAATGCCCACTTTTGTAGCGTGCTGCTGTGGCTTCCGTGTGTGTGTGTGTGTAAGAGAGGAGGCGACGGAGGTTTTTCTTTTAGCCCGTAGGCAAGCCTGCTGCTGCAGCACGTTGTAGGGAGACATCCCCAGATGTTATTTTCTGTTTTCTTTATATGTTCAATAAATGCCTGTTCTCAGTCAGTTATTATGTATATATATGTATATCTATATATATATAAAAGACCTCACCTATCTTTGGATTTCTTTATGTTTTTGTGCTTCCTGCCTCCCTCCTTCTGGTTCTTTCCCTGAGTGGGAGGATGATGATGAATCCTCTCAGGGAGGCTGTGACAGAAAACAGCTTCTCTTTCCTGAATTTGTACGGTCACATAATATTGGACAGAGTGTGTGATTGACAGCTGGATCGTCCAATAGCAGCCTGATTCACGGTTGTCACTGAAATGTTTCCTTAAGTATTAAAACTTGGTGGAGAAGATTTCCATTCATCATATATTTGGTTACGCTCTCAGTGAGTGTGAGGACGGTCCAGTGATGCTCTGATGGAACGGTATATTCCAGTCCGGAGGCCGGAGCCTGCTCCAAGGACGGCCCATTGATCCTGCCTCAGACGCAGACAGGCAGAGAGATGGATGACTGTGTCGGGAAGAAGTGGTGGTGTGAGAGGGAGAGGGAGAGAGAGAGGGGGAGAGAGGTGAGGGGAGGGGGAGTATTGACATGTAAGTGGTGGAGTGTGAGGGAGAGATTGAGGGAGGTAGGAGGAGCAGGTGGTGGGGAGGGGGGGGTAGACAGGCAGGGGGGGGGGGGGGGGGGGGGAGAGGGGGGGGGGGGGGGGGGGGGGAGAGAGGGGGGGGGGGGGGGGGGGGGACAGGGGGGGGGAGGAGGGAGGGAGGTTGAGACTGTGCACTGGCGGTTGCAGATGTGCGTGTGTGTGTGTGTGTGTGTGGTCCTCGTGACAGCTCAGCTAGACCAAAGGTCCGACAGGGAAGAGAAGGGAACCCTCTCCTCTCTGTCTCAACATCCATGCTGTTGCCATGGCATTGGTGTGTTCTGCTGATTGTTGCACACACACACACACACACACACCAACACCAACCAAAAGGCAGAGTGAGACTGTGCGTTGATGTCACCTAAATTGAGAAAGGATGCAATTATCTCCTTCTTCATCCTCCCCCTTCCTTTTTTTTTCTCCCCGTCTCCGTGGCCATCTCTCAGTTGGTAAAAATAGCCGTCCACAGACACCCTCTGACAGCATCTAATATTATTATGGGATGGAGATAATGAACAGGCACTTGAGTTCCCAACAATGGCTGTGGATGTCAGAAGACAACAGAGGATGATAATAAAGATAATGACGATGATTAAAAATACACCAAAGTGTTCTCGGCGTTCTCCGCCCTCTTTGTTCTGCCGTGGAGCGGAGGAATGGCTGTGCAGTGACATGACATTCCTTCACTGGAGGAAAGAAACATCCACGTAGATGTAACCACTTCAGATGTAATTACAGGGGAAGATATGAAACCCTGGGAATAAAAGGAGTGAAAGTTACTCCTGGATTTCAAATGTGAAACTGGTCAAAAATCCCCCTGATGTGCAGACATGCTGTAATGCCAGGCTGTGTGTGCAGGGTTCCCCCGGCTCCACACTCTCTTTCATATTCAGAAGTAGTGTTGCTATGGCTGGCAGATTACAGCAGGGGAGAAAGAAGAGGGAAAGAACAAAAAAGGGAGGAACACGGCAAGAGGAGCACGGGCAGGAGGGGTGGGAGCAGCAGAGCAAGACAAATCCAGTGGAGGAACCCCCCCTCCAGTCAGATGAACATCGCTGCCTGGCTCCCTCCTTTTCCTCCTCCTCCTTCTCCTCCTCCTGTCTCCATCTCTGTTTTTTCCCTCCTCCCTTCTCGCTTCTTCTCCATTATTCATCAGCGTGCGGAGAGTCCCCAGCTCTCGGCTCAGGCTTCTGCTGCTGCCGGATCTCCTTATTGCCCAGCTCGTTTTTAGGACGTCCATCTTTCCTTCCACCTTCTCCGGGCCATGGAGACTCAGAGCCGGCCCTGTCCTGCCGCTGAGAGGAAGAGAGAGCCGTCATCATCATCATCATCCTCATCCTCATCATCCAGCAGCTCTCTGAGCGGCTGAGACAGAAGGGAAAAAATCGGAGGAGAGAAGAGAGGATTTTGTGTCCTTTTCTGGCATTGAAGGAATCCTGTTCATCTGCCTCTATTTTTCTATCGGATTACAGTTCTGGCTTTGTGTAGGAACCAGAAAACCAGCTCCAAAATGCCTGAAGCCAATTACCTGCTGTCTGTGTCTTGGGGTTACATCAAGGTGTGTGCCACTTATCTACGTAGCTTCTGTTGAGAGAACGCTCTGATTTTATTGCTGTCTGTTCTGGGGCTGTTGTCTAAAGTCAGCGTCAGAATTTTCATTTCGTCATCTGTGGTTTTGGGGGGTCTCAGCAGAATCCCATTGGTTGTTGACGTGCTGCAGTAAATGGGTCTCAGTGATGTGGCTCTGACAGAATGGTGTTCCGAGGCTCAGGCTCCATCTTGAGTCCTCTGCAGAGCTGTGGCTGTGTTTGGGTACTGTGTGTGTGTGTGTGTGTGTGTACACGCACGCACATGTCATAAACAGCTCGTACTGCAGTGGCTGGATCACTGTGTACTCTGTCATATGTTCTGTCTAGTTTAACATGTTAATAATATAAAAATGTTGAAGGAATTTGACAAAAAAAATGTTGTGCTGGAGAACAGTGTGTTCAGATTTCATCACTGAGACGTTCGGACCCCGACACTGACATCAGTGGTTAAATAGTGACCTAACATGTGAAATCAATGGGTTTCTAAACCCTGTTTCCTTCCTTTCAGGACACAAGTATTGACGCACTCTTAATAATTGAACAGATGATGGAGGAAAACACACACACACACACAGAGATGAACACAATAACTAAATCTTACTTTTGAGAAACCAATGGCCACTGTTGCATTTTCCATGAATCATCATAAGATGTTGTTTTTCCTCAGTTGAAACTAATATTTTATTTTATTTTTCTTCTCCTCTTTCAGTTCAAGAGAATGTTGAATCGGGAGCTGACGCACCTATCAGAGATGAGTCGCTCTGGGAATCAGGTTTCCGAATTCATCTCCAACACCTTCCTAGGTAAATGCAAATATGGTGTTCACCCAAAAATCACAATGATCGATCCCAGGAGTTTCATCTGTGTTTTCACTTCAGAGTGGGAATAAAAATGTTGCTGTTCACAGCTGCTGCCACCGCTGCTGCTGCCACCGCTGCTGCTGCTGCTGCTGCTGCAGTGTTGTTCTGCAGCCCCAGTTTCATGTGATGTGAAGGTGTGCAAGTCGCTCTGACAGGATTTTTCTGTGGGGGCGTAGCGTCAAACAGTGCGCCATTCGGCTTTTCTAAATCTCCTGGCTCTTCCTTTAGAAAACAAGGAGGAAGATTTTTTTTTGTTCTTTTTTTGGGGGGGTTGGGGGGGGGGCCTGGATGGACAGGATCATACAGAACGTGTTATTGGTTTAATGTTTATGCCGAGATTTTTAAAAACCAGAGGTTGGTCCAAGTGACAAAAACACAGTCATGTCTGAACTGTTTACGAGGTTCAGGGGGAATATTTATTGACTCGGTGCTTCTGATCGATAAGTATCCTGTTCCTGTGCTGTGTTGTTGGCTGCTGTACATACAGAAGCAGAAGAGGAGGGGTGAGCAGAGGCAGAGAGGAACCACAGGGGGGAGGGAGGGAGGGAGGGAGGCTGGTGACTGCAGTGAGGAGGGAAACAGAGGTACAGAGGAACCCCCTTTGTTGGCACTGAGGTTGGCTGGGCACGTCGGTGACTCATCGCCGTCTTGATGCATCTTTGTCAGCGGGGGACACCTTGTTGTCCCTCCACTTCTCTCCCACCTTCTCCCACCGCCCTAACAATTTAAACTGAGATGATTATCGCTGCGATAAAGAAATCAGAACCACTGTGTTGGTGGTGGAGGAAAGAGAGACTAAGTAAAGGTGGAGAAGTGGCTGGAGCAGAGCAGTTGACCAGTGGAACTGTTTAATCCTTTTTTTATTTTTTTTTATTTTTTTTACAGCAATAGATATTAAATGCCTGCACTGCTTAGAAAATTTTGAAAAATTACAATATTTTGTAATGTTCCAATAACATGCAAGTAAAATATTTTACTATATAAATTATGGATAAAAAAATTAAAAATCTAAATTTTATCACATGTAACAGTCATTAATAAGTTAAAACAACTGTTCATGTTAATTTAATGGCGTATTCCTCGTCACAGCCCTGCTCAGAGACATTACGGAGAGAGAAATGTAAGGTGCTGAAAATGGACCTTGAAAGTGCTTGAATTTCACATGGGCCACGAGCCGTCACATTTACCTGAAATCTGTAATATTTTTGTAGCTTTTTGTGTCTGCTTTTTTTGTCTCCGTTGGTGCAGCAGAGTGTTTCCAGGAATTATGGAAAGATTCCTGGGTTTTCTCATCTCATGCAATTTTAAAGCAGCTTTTGGGGCCTTTCCATAATGGCCTGCACGGCCCATTTGTGTGTGTGTGTGTGTGTGTGTGTGTGTGTGCCTCATGTTTGTGCTCCTAACTGCCTTTGATCAGCCAACAGCCAGTGTGATCACATTTTGCGTGGGGAATATTTACTCAGCCAATAGGACCACAAATGGCCGTCGTCTGTTTTTTTTCTCTCTGATATTGTTGGCCATCGAACATACGGAGGAAGATGAAAATGATAGGAAGTCGTGTGGAGTAAACGTGGGAGAGGAGGGGGGGAGAAAAACACACTGTAATCTCCCTAATCGCACACATAGAGTTTATATACGTACAGGCTGCGGGTGAACATGAGTTTATATACGTACAGGCTGCGGGTGGACATTAGGGAATACATAGAGAGAGACAGAGAGAGAGAGAGATTACTTGAATAACAGCTGTTAATTGAATAACTGTCCACAGGGGAATGGTGATAGGACAGAAATGAGACAAGACTTTATAAGTAGGTGCACAGATCTCATACACGCTGATACAGTTAGATCTCATTGATGGAGCAGTTAACCAATCAAAACACTTTCTCCAAATGTCATTAAAAAAAACCTTAAAATCTCAAATTTTATGCATAAGATTTCTAAAACAAATATTGGTTTTGGTTTCAAATGTTTGCCAGATTAAAATTCAACAATTGAAAGGAGAAGAATATTTAAGGTGATGAGTCAGGCCAAGGATGCAAACTACTGCTGAATGTGCCTGACATTTGACCTTTTGTCCATGTCCATCTAATCACGGGGTGGGGTCAACCCCAGCAGCAGTGTCCTGACACGTCTAAGAGTTTTTAAAAAATCTGCAGTTTACCGAATGAGCGAGAGCCTCGACCGTGTGCAGACCCCAGCCCTCGCTCTTTGAATGGACTGACCTATGAAGTGAAAAAAGGCAGGAGATGAGACGTGAGTCACCTGCTGTGAGATGAAGTGGGTTGGGGGAGAAGTGGGAAGAAGTGTCAGGAGGGGTGGAGAGAGGGAGAGGGATGAATGAACAGTGGGAGTTCAGACGGTGGCTGCAGGTGGAGAGAGGAGAGGGCGTTAATGAAGAAGGGAATGAAGGGACAGATGTTGAATGGATGGCTGTATTGATAAACCCCAGAGGAAATAAACCGCAATATGTGTTCCTCAGCTGCACCTGGGTCCACGGACGAAAACAAATCTGGAAGAAAATGACAAAAAAACAACATGTTTTTCTGACACTGGACGAGTATCAACCCGTGGTTTAATTCTTCCACAGACAAACAAAATGAGGTGGAGATCCCGTCGCCGATGTCCAAGACGCGGGAGAAGAAGAAGCAGCAGAAGCAGCAGCTGATGACACAGATCAGCGGGGTCAAGAAGGTCTCCCACGGGCCCTCTCTCTCCAGCAGCAGCATTTCTCGCTTCGGTGTCAAGACTGATAAGGAGGAGCTGCTGTCAAAGGAGCTGGAGGACCTGAACAAGTGGGGCCTGAACATCTTCACCGTCTCAGAGTTCTCCAACCACAGGCCGCTAACCTGCATCATGTATGCCATCTTCCAGGTGTGGTAAATCTGACCGTTCACTGTGTGACACCACGTAGAACAATGACCTTCTTTTTTTTAATGCCGTTCACTGTGTGACACCACGTAGAACAAATACCTTTTTTTTTATGCTAAAATCCTTTTTTCGTAACATGTTCTGATATTTTCCCAGGAGCGGGATCTGTTAAAGACATTCAAAATCCCAGTGGACACATTCGTGGCCTACATGATGACGTTGGAAGACCATTATCATTCAGACGTGGCCTATCATAACAGCCTGCACGCTGCAGACGTGGCCCAGTCCACACACATCCTCCTTTCCACCCCGGCCTTGGATGTAAGTAAAATATGGAGATCCATTAGGGAATAATGAGGAAGAAGCAGTAGAAGACTTACAGACTTTCATTAATCATCGTGAAAAACGTTTATTTTTGTTCACCCCCTTTTCTCCTTATCTCTTTTGTCTCAGGCGGTCTTCACAGATCTGGAGATCCTCGCTGCCATCTTTGCCGCAGCCATCCACGATGTTGACCATCCTGGAGTATCAAACCAGTTCCTAATCAACACCAGTAAGTGAAAGTCATTAGAAACTGCTAATTCTGTCACTTTGCAAAAAAAAAAAAAAAAAAAAAAACACAAACTAAAGACACTGTTTTAACCTCCACACAGACTCTGAGCTGGCGTTGATGTACAACGATGAATCCGTGCTGGAGAACCATCACCTGGCTGTGGGATTCAAGCTGCTGCAGGAAGACAACTGCGACATCTTCCAGAACCTCACCAAAAAACAGAGGCAGTCGTTGCGCAAGATGGTCATTGACATGGTAACGCATCCCAGATCTTTAGTCTCTGCTTCTTTGCTGTTTAAAAAACCAAACTGAGTTCTCCTGAGGTTAAATGTGTATATTTTTTTATCCAGGTTTTGGCCACTGACATGTCCAAACACATGAGTCTACTGGCCGATTTGAAGACCATGGTGGAGACCAAGAAGGTGACCAGCTCTGGGGTGCTTTTGCTGGACAACTACACAGACAGGATACAGGTACGAGTTTCATTGAATTAGTATTTTTTTTTTGGTATTTAATTTAAATTTGGGGGTAATTGTTTATAAAAAATTTGAGATGAGCTATAAAATTGTATATATAAATAACTGTATCGTCTGTATAAGGATGAACATCTAAATTTTTTTTAAACCTTTTTAAAGGAGTATAATAGAAGCTGTTTCCTCATCTTATGTGCTATTATTAGACCTGATCAATAGTCAGTGCTGGCTAAGGTTACTGGGGCAGTGGTCATTAGTCCGCCTCCCTCGCTGACCTATGATCCTATTGTCACTCCTTTTTTTTCGCTCCATCCGTCTTCCTCCAGGCGTCTTCCCCTTTTACATTTTACCTTTTTTTACGCTTTTTGTTTTACCCAATAATGTACGTTGTTTTAACAAAATACAAAGTCAATTTTATTGCCTCTACATTATTATATCCACATTTAAATTTTAAAAATTGTTGTCTTTAATATTGTACTAAAAGGGCTCGTAGGGCTAAATCCCAATGCTGTAAAAAAAAGTGTTCATTTTTACTAAATGAGAACTGTGCTTTATAGGTGCTGCGTAACATGGTCCACTGTGCCGACCTGAGTAACCCCACCAAGTCCCTGGAGCTGTACCGTCAGTGGACGGACAGGATAATGGATGAGTTCTTCCATCAGGGAGACAGAGAGAGGGAGAGGGGGATGGAGATCAGCCCCATGTGTGACAAACACACAGCCTCAGTGGAGAAAAGTCAGGTACGCAGCAAAAACCCACAAATCCCACCTGGATTATGCACCACAGTCCACGGATCTGCACCGAACTAGGACTGGGCCCTAATCTGTACTCTGTCTCTTTCAGGTGGGCTTCATCGACTACATCGTCCACCCTCTTTGGGAGACTTGGGCTGATCTGGTCCACCCAGATGCCCAGGACATTTTGGACACTCTGGAGGACAACAGGAACTGGTACCAGAGCATGATTCCTCAGAGTCCTTCTCCTCCCTTCTATGACCAGGGCACACACGGACAAAGCGGAGGCACGGGTGGTCAGGGAGGAGGGGAGAAATTCCAGTTTGAGCTGACGCTTGAGGAAGAGGACTTGGATGGAATAGAGAAAGATGGCGAAGTAGACGAGGCGGAAGCTGAAGATGAGGAATTAGAAGAGGAGGAGGATGAGGAGGAGGAGGAGGAGGATGACAGTGGAGAAGATAGAGAGTCTCCTCCCGTGGACTACTTGGACTCTCAGGATCCTGAGCAGGATGGGATGATGGAGGAGCCCACCACAGCAATAGAAATTGTGACACACGAAGCCTCGCCCACAGATACATAGGGGCGTGCGTCATCAGCCTTTACTCGGTGATGGTGAAGTGTTTTTGGAAAAAGAGGTGACATCCTCTTGAAGTCGGCTTTTTGAAAAGCCCTGAGAGGCAAAAGGCTTAGTTTTTCGTCCCCCCACGTGGGGGCATCTTGCACTTGGCAGTTTGAAGCCAGTCGAGGACGGACAGTTTCAGTGAGGTGGCTTCAGAGTTCTCAGGAAATACATGCTGCGAACATTTAAGTCTTTGACGGAGAGATGAGACTGGGAATGGAACCTGAAGGATTTGTTTGGCCAGTTTGGAAAATGGAGACTTTTGTTTTCAGGACTGGCATTAAAAATGGACATTGACACTACTGAGAGAAGTTTTGTACCTTAAAAGACTTTTTTTTACCGAAAAATCTAGAAGTAGCATAGATTAAGATCTACTGATCCAGACACGTTTGTATAGCAAGAGAGTGTTTACTTATTTCCTGTAACATTTGTCTAAGGACTTTTGTGTGCCTTTTTTACTATTGTCCTTACAGCTGTTTGTTTTTTAATTTATTGAACACTCTCATATGTCTGTGAATTTGTTTTTCTTATCTGAATTAGCAATTTTTTTTTTCTATGTTTAAGAGAGAACAGTCTTCCATGTATTGGGCAATAGAGAAAATCCAAACATCTCTTGGACAACCTCATGTGTCTACGTGGAGAAACACACACACAAACTACATTCTACAAACACTTTCATCACATTTAAATTGATCTGTTCACCGTTCATGTTGAATTTTAGTTAAATTCCCACACATTTTCCAATTTCCACGGTCTGCAGACCATTGGAGCTTCCTACCTTTTCACACCAAACACTGAATGCAATACTAGCATGACATGTTTTCATGTATTTCTGTTCATCAGTATGTGTGAAAAATAATGGTGTTTTTCAATAGTGTTTTTGTGTTTGTGTGAAAAGAAAGCAGAAATCAAAACAAGGCCTTAGAGTTCATCAAATGGATTCTTATATAAACGTTTGATTTTAAAAAAAAAAATCATATTTGAAGTCTGCCAAAGACAAATAAATGCACAAGAGATTTTTTTTTAACTTTTAGCCCACAGTTATATGCTGCAGTCCTAAAAATCCTGTTAGTTTGAACCAGTCTTGAAAGCAGACCCACACCAGATGATTTAACGCTGCCCTCTGATCCTAATCAGTGCCACCATCCACAGTTTACAAACCTATCTCAGCTGCATCAACACAAACCCAAAACACTTTGGGTCTGATGTTTTTTTTTCCTCCCATTTGACAAAAAATTCCCCCGGAGCTCCTTCTGCCCAATGACGTCAATGCATATTTTCCATCCTGGCTGTATCGGGTTTCCAGGACACTTGGGTTGTTAGTGTTTGACAGAGATGAAACTGCCGGAATAATCTTGGCAGTCACTGCCCTTCTGGGAGTAAAGGAGGAATCTAGATGCTCTACTTTTAACACAAACCAAACAGCGCTCGTTCTGGTTCATTCACGACTGCGTCGAGGAAGCTGGGTCGAAAATGGTTTGCAGACCTCTCAACCAAAAAATTTCCACACATTCAAAAATGGCATTTTCAATCACTTTCTCCCCCTCGTGTTAGCTCATGTTAGCGTACGGAAACACTCCGCGGTACTCCATCTGACTTTACCCCCCGTATGCTAAAAAGTGGCAATCGTTTGTATGTAAGTCCAGACGGATGTTTGTGTTTTTTTATTACGTGTGTATGTACGCGTGACTGTGTGTGTGTGACTGACTGACTGTCACCAAGCCTTACCCCCCTCAGCCCCCCCCCTCCCCCAGATCACTCCACACACATTTGTCGCTACTGCTCAAGTCGGTCCTTTTTGCTGTTTATAACAGTGTGTATTTATTCTATACTTTAAGCTTGTAAATAAGAAATACTAGTCCAGTGTAAAATCTATTTTAATTTATATTATTATGCACTTGCATTACCTGGAAGTGGTGGTGTCTAATGTGTAGAAGACTCTGAGTTTGAGTCTCTTTTTATAGCTATTATACATATAGTTATATACAGGTTTCTTTATATATATATACAGATATATATATGTATGTACATATATATGTACATATATATATGTATTTCCCTTAAGAGCAGCAGCTATCCATGATGTTGTCACATGAGAACCTTGTAACTCTAAACAATGTTTTAGGACAATATGAAAAATAACTGTATGCATGAATATTAAACCAAAAACTGTCTTAACTTTAAGCACCAGTTAGAAAGATCTTCATTCAACGTCTCGCTCTCGTACGCAGTGTCGATTCAAGTCCAACTGATTCTCCTTGTTTAATTTGTGTTCAAACTGTTGGAGTAAGGCGACCACATTCATTATAATCTGAATGACTCTGTTCTGCTGGTTTTAAAAACCGCGGCAGTTGAGTTTTTGAAGTACAAGGTTTTCGTCTGACAGCGATAATTTGGTGACCCAGATGAAACACAGAGGACATGATGAAACGCACAGGCCTGAACGCAAGACAGAGGTTAGCGTGGGTTAGCGTGCCGTGCTACATACAAGTACAAGTACACCTATGACTAGCTCATCACTGAAGGTCGAGATGTGCCCAGAAACAGAATGGACAATAAACCCAGGGCTGTTTTTTTATTTTTATTTTATTTTTACACTTAAACACCTTGTGTAAAACTAGATAAGACAGTTAATGTTAACTTACTGGTAGCATGAGTCCTTCAGAATTAACACATGATCTTACTGTACCTGATTGTGATAATCTGTGAACTCTTTCTGACCAAACTTGTTACTAGTTCTGGAGAATTCAAATTTGTTCGGCATTAAGTTTTATTTTTTATCTATCTTCAAGCTTTTCTCAGTCCTAGTTGAGTCTCAATGGTTAGCCAGAGTTAGCACTGCATGACAGATGGGGTTTTCTTAATTGTCAATAATATGTTAAAGGTCCACCGGTTATTACAGGTGGCCTCTTCAATGTTTCACACAATGTATGGTATGATATTGTATATTGTGTTCCAAAATAAATCTGAAATACCTTTTTCTATGATGTGATTAAAATCTAAAGCATGGATATATTTCTTCTCTTCCTCTCTTTCCCAGTCCTTGCGGCCCACGTACGTTATAGCATTTACTATGAAACACAACAGAGGAACTGATACATAGTTCAGACTCCAAAACATTTAACTAACAGGACAAGTTAGTACGTCATTAGGACAAATGAATAATTCTTCAAAACTTTTGTTTAGAAAATGAAGACAAAACTGCACAAACAGTTAGCATTGCATGAACTTAATATCTAAAATGATACATAACTGGTGAACATTCATCACCTCCTTTATTAAACTTCTTCATGCATTGTTCTGGTGCATTACTTCACTGTTACGCATAACGTTAGACAATAGTATAGTGCCACCGCTGGACGGGATGTATATAGCACTATACCACAATACCTAGCTACAAATTAAATTTACATTTTAAAAGGATTTTAACACTGTTAGTGATCACACACACACACACACACTGCACAATTAAATTTACATTTAATTTGAACTTTACTTTTTCTCGACTCTGGGAAATCCTTGTGTTAACAGTGTATCATGTACTTTTTCTCGACTCTGGGAAATCCTTATGTTAACAGTGTCAATCAAACCCAGGACTCTATACTGCCAGGGCAGCTGTGTTCACCACTACACTATGTAACTGACAAAAGGCACTGCTGGGATTTGAACCCAGGATCTCCTGTTTACTAGACAGGCGCTTTAACCAACTAAGCCACAGCGCCACCTATGCACATGAATATTTAAAAAGACAAATAAATGACATCAGTGGCTCATTGGTCTCTGTCACTGGTCTGGAACCCCAGGGTTCACCTCCTGGGAGAGATGGATGGATGGATGGATGGATGGATGGATGGATGGATGGATGGATGGACAAATGACATCACGTCTGCCCTGTGTTCCTCCTCTGTCCGTTTGAAGTCCTTGCGTTTCCTGCTTTATCACACAGGTTTGATTCTAATGCATGAAGACGGGAACACTGTGTGACACAGACTCAACACCCCCCCGACACCCTTCTCCACACACACACACACACACACACTGTAAAGGCTGCCCTAATGTGATGTAAAACACACACTCATAAAAAAGCAGACGTCTGTGTCTGACTCATGGACCATTTGTAAGAAACGGATGTCGTCTTATTGGTGAAAGCAGAAGAACAGTATAATCTCTGCTTTGCACTAGTAATAATATTCCAGCCATGGTTGCAGGAATTACAGACTCGTCTTCTTGAGTTCCTCTTTTGTCCAGTGTTCAATCTGATTTATTCCTGTTTCGTTTGATTTTTCACTTCATTTTTTGTCCGTCTTCACTTCCCGCGTGCACTTAATGCGTCACACCTGTGTCTCATTGTCTCCCTCCTCTGACTCTGTTCCTGGCCCATGTGGTAAGGACACCTAATTGGTTCCTGGTGTCAGCTGACCAGGCCTTTGAGTTCTTCAGAAACTATTATTAAGATGATGGATATTTTTTCTCTGTCTTAATCTTGACACTCAAGATCCACTTGTTGTGTTTTCGTTCTGATATCATTTCCCCCCGATGTGACTGAGTGACTTTCCAGTCGGGTTTTCCTAATCAGGATTAGATGATTATATGTTGATTAGATGTTGGTGGGTGTGGCTAAACACTGACGTAGCAGCAGGTGAACAGGACAGGAAGTGCAAACTGGAGTGAGGGTAGGCAGGAAGTAAAATGGTAAGTCTCTAAAATCACAGAAAATGATCAGATAAATGTATAAAGAGTAACCATGTCAAGGAGCTGAGCTATTAAAACCCTGACATATGCTTGAATATATTGATCAGTTCCCAGGTTTTCCTTCCTCTGAGTTTGTTCTGAACGGTGGCTTGTACGTTTTTTTTAAACAGTGAATCTCTACACAGTCTTATACATTATGTAGAATTTTCTGTTTTCCGTCCTCACGCTGCCTCTTGTGCTAAACTCGCTCTTGATCCTGCTGCTCTTGACATGACTGTGTTTGATCACATGAAAGGGTTTTCCTAAATTAGACTTAAAAGGGAAACTGACAGCCTGACCTCCGCCGTCTCTCCTTTATAAACTGGACCACATCAATGGTTCACTTATTTAATAGAGCTGAGAACAGATCACACCATTTCCCACCAGTGGTGCTGCAGTAAGTGAAGCCACCAACCCGCTCCCCAGGGTGACACAAAGGAAGAGGTGATGGATGTATTTTTGGGCCAGAAGAGGAAATGATGAGATCAGAAGATAACAGGAAAGGTGTCGTTTAGACTCATAATTAAAAAGAACCAATTAAACAGAAAAGATAAAAAAAGGTTGTAAATACGTCAGAGGATTTATTTGTGTCCTATAACAGTTTTCTGTTAATATTTATACCTGACACTCTTAGACTATTATTTTATTTTTATTAAGACGAAGGGGAATTACAAATATGTATTTCTGTCTGATGATGTCATGCAGGGTAAAACTTCCTCCTGGTTTTGCGTCATTGTGGTTTTAGAGCTGTTTCTTTGTGCAGATGCAGCTGCTAAAATTCTGGTTCAAATGTCAACAAACCAGAATGACGAGTTTGAATTTATTCTCCATCGGCGTTAAGGATAAAACACTCAGTTTTCTGTAAATACTCCTCGGTTCATTTACAACGTCAAATTAAAGGTGAAAGGATTAAGAAAATCAAAACAAACCTCACGTGGAACCTCACGGAGGAACACAGACACATGACCAAAATGTGTTTGATCTTAGTCTTTAACTAGTTCCTGTAAAACTAAATAATTTGGGGTCAAAGTAATGAGGTCAAAAGTTCGATTTGTTCTCAATTCAGTTGTGTAGTGGAGAAGCAAAGTATTTATTTTTTATCCTATGTTACTCACATAAAATATAAAATACAAAAAATATTTTATAAAAAATAGCAATCAAACATGATATAATATACAGATATACAATATACAGAACAGTAACAAAGGCTCTCATTTGTGCAGACTGTAACATCATTCGTATTGTTTGGTGATCAACATCATCCGTATTGTTTGGTGATTCACTGAGTTATATAATTGAGCTGGAAGTTTCCAGTTATAGTTGAAAACCTAAACCAGTTGTTTCCTAAATTTCAAATATTCCTAAAATACAGATACTACATTTCTTATGGCTCTTTCAGAAAGTGAACACCAACTGTGTCTTCTCTTTAAATGATGCCAAATGTTTCATAAACTCACTGTATCTATCATCACCAGGAAGTGTAATGGTCACATTAGTTGGTTTTTGCTCTGGCTCTGTGTGCCTGCAGGGAGAGAAAAGGCAACATGATGCTCCTCTTAGTTTCCCCTGAGGCTGCATTACCCTTGTAAGTGAAGCAAGTAAATCAGTCTCGTGATGGATTCCTGCAGCTATTTATATCCCCCCGAGTCAATTAGAGGTGAGATGATGAAGTGGCTATGGGTGCGGAGAGAGAACCTCTCCGAGTCCTCATTGTGCCTGCTCCACTGATGGGAGAACAGGTGGACACAGCTGCTAGTATTTTAGGACGCCGGAGCAACAGCAAAAATCTCCTGAGTTAGGATTTTGTTGGTGCGTTCAAAGCAGTGATTAAGCATTCACTAAGTGCTGTACATTTTTGGGGACAGACACGGCGCCTCACCTTGGACTAGACCTTGACCTGTCGCATGTCTTCCTTTCATTACCGTTAAGGCCTGACCAGTAACGCTGAATAAAAACGTCTGGTGACCATTTCCAGCAGCGCTCGTGTTGCTCTGCTCTCTGGTTTTTCCACTGCTGTGTCACTGAGCCCTGAGGTTACATTACTGCGCTCACGCAGCCTTCCTAAACCGTTGAGGTCTGCAGCACATGGGAACAATTCTTGGTTTGCGTGAGAGCTGCTGTAATGACACAAGCTTGTGTGTGTGTGTGTGTGTGTGTGTGTGTTTCTCTCATTGTTTTTCCATTACTTTCAGTAATCAGCGGATCTTTAGAGCAGTTATTACTAATAGCACGGACAGGTCAGCTACGGGATCTTAACCAGAGACCTTCTCTGACGACTCGGCTGAAAACCACTACCACAGGAGAACATCTTTGATGGGTTTTGTTAGTGTGAGCTCTGTGTTGGTAACCCGGTCAATGCTGTTAATTCTGTACCAATGAAATAGCTAAAGAAAAGTGGAGAAGTTTGATCCAGATACTGCAGCCACAGAAGCAGGAAATCATATTTTTGAGTTGAGTGTTTTTTCATTTGCTGCTAAAGATAAGTCTAAAAACGTCAGCCTTTTCTAGATCGGACTGAAAACAGACACGACCAGCAACAACTTTTATCGTCCTTTTGACCAATGAACAAACACCAAAAAACCAAAATGCATCCAGATTGCTTTTTTCTGTTTTGCTAACCTTTGTTTTCAAACAGTGAATGTTGTGTGGAATTTGGATTTCAATGCTCAGTAGTCTTAGTTTTATGCAGATGATACAGTAATTTATATAAAATGTGTGAATATTTATGAATAAATAAATTCTCCTGATGCACTGTTGACCTGTTTTTGTTTTGTTTTTTTCAGTACATGAACAGTCCTTAGTCATCTTCCGGACATTGTTGAGAATGTTTCATTTGCAGGTGTGAATGTGTCATTCTGTGACAAAGTAGGAGAGAGGAGATGCAGTAAATCAGGTTTTGGACGGGGATTTATTCCAGCACAGGAAAAAGAAAACAAGTCTTCTCTGTCAAACTAGTTTCTATGACAACAGAGCTGGAGCTGAGCACTAATGTACATCCTTGAGACTTTTCTGGGATTGCAGTTGGGTAACGTCTCCGCAGTCCCATGCAGAAAAGGTCGCATACAGAATGTAACGGCACTGAAACGTCTGGTGTACACACAGGAAGATTACCAACGTTATTATCTGATTTGAAATCAGTTTGAATGAAGGATTGATCTGGTTAACACTGCCGAGGTGTTGGAGTTTCTGTCCGTGCCCCAAATGCCCTACATCACTGTGCAGTGTCCCATTTAGTTCAACCCAGCAGCGGCCCAGTGTGTGTTTATATAAAGAACAACAT